TTTGGGGTTGCGTCCTTGTGGAGGTGTGAAGCGGCTATTCTTTTTCTTTGTGTAGCACTCCATTGTCCTAGGATTCCTTTCATTGCTGTGGAAATATTCTTTGAGCCTTAGTCTCCTGAAGAATTCCTCCATATCTGACAATAATTGTAAATGATCTAATTTGGTGGTTGGGCAGAATGTAAGGCCTTTGGAGAGGATGGTTAATTCTGGTTCATAAGGTTTATGATTTGACAAGTTGATGATTCCAAGTTCCTCTGTTCTATCCACATTTTTAGTCAGGTCAGCACTTACACAAGGGATACCTTGGGATTCCAGATTAGATTCCAGGTCACCGATAGTAGGAGGTATAGATGTTGGGTTGCTTTTATGTTTAGGTTGTATCCAAAAAATCTGCTCTTGCTGTAGCTTCTGAAGTTTTTTTGCTTCCCATTCATGGCAAGTTTTTGTGTTTGTCTTTGTAAAGTTTCCAATTCATTCTTGATTTGGTTAACGTTGATAGGGTCCAATGATGTTAGGGTTTCAAACAAAGACTGCTTTTGTATCCTGATAGTTACCCTTTTTACATACAGTTTGTGAATGAGGTTATTCCTTAATCTCTTGCTGGTGCGTCTGCAAAGTCCTTCTGCATAAGGAGAGTTGATTGTATTTACGCAAGGTTTTTTAATCCGGAGGCCTTGTGGTATGAGATTCCTCTTTTTGCATCTTAAGAGAAAGAAGATATCACTGTTAATCTGTGTTTCCTTTGTGATTAGGTTGGTTAACTGCTTCTTGCACTGGAATGCACTGGAAAATGAACTGGAAACATTTTGTAATAATTGAATATCCATCAAGAAGAAGTCAATTCTTGAGTAGGAGTTGTGGGGTGTGGAGTAATGCTAAACATCTCCAGGGGTCATACAGATTAGCCTCCGAGAACACATTAGCGAGAGAATGTCTTAGGCTGCGAGAGGAGTGTGAGATGTCCAAGGAGGTATTAATGATAGCGTTAAAATCTCCACAGAAAAGTAGGAATCCCTTCTGGAATTTTGCCACCTTTTTCCGCAAGGAATTTAAGAAGTGGATCTGATGAACATTGGGGGCATATAGATTGACAATGGTATAAGTGATGTTGCTGATTTCACAGACAATAATTAAGTATCTACCTTTGCTATCAGATTCTTGGGAAAGCAATGAAAATGCAAACAGAATTACGAATGGCTATGAGACGCCACATTTCTTATCCGGGCCGAATGATGTGAGCAGTGTGGAGCTTTAGTAGAGGCAAAATGTGTTTCCTGGACACAAATAACATCGCCAGCCAACCGTTATGCCTCTCTCCACATGGAATGGCGTTTAAACGGGCTATTGAGGCAGTGAGTTCATAGATATTATTTTTAGAACCATGGTGGATGTAGGGTAAATGATGCAGGGATGCCCTCAAGTGGTATGATTAAGAATGAAAGAGGTATTCCAGGTGGATAGGCTTACGGTGTCTGTAAAGATCCAACGAGGAGTGAAGAGTTGTTTCTTCATATAGCAGGAGAAAAGAGATATGTTTTGTTCCCATACTTGGTCAATTCTGGTGCTCTGTGAGAAAAAAGTTAGCAAAAGGGAAGAAAAAAAATAAGAGACAACAAAAATAACAATCAACGAGTAACTTTGTGTGAACTTAATCACTGCAACGGTTGGGGGTTCAATGCCGAGAGGCGCAGCTTAATGATGGCTGTCCAAGTGTACAGTGGGTAGGAATTAGGAGGCACGGGAGAATGCACAGCATGGTATCTCATCTCGCTACTTGTTCCCAGTCAGGAGATTTTCTTTAGGAGAGGCTTTGGCAGGAATTGGTTCGTCATCTGCCGGCAGGATGCCCCACTTTCTAGCTAATTGGAATCCTTCCACTTCAGATTTCACCGTTATAACACGGTTGTCTTTAGAGATAAGCAGTTTGGTAGGGAAGCCCCACTGGTATTTGATATCATTGTTCCGTAGCAGTTTCGTGAAAGATATTAATTTTTTGTGGGCTAGTATGGTATGTTGAGAAAGGTCAGTGAATAAGGAGATCCCAGTATAAGGGACTGGGAGCGGGTTGTTTTTTTGAGCAAATAGCATTAGTTCCTCTAAAGTGGTAAAAGTGGATTCTCGCTATAGTGTCTCTTGGAATATGATCGGGGAGAAAGGAGGGTTTTGGCAGTCTATGGGCACTGTCCACTACTACTTCTCTATGCGGAGTGTGAGGTAGCAGAGTGGAAATCATTTGCTGAATATATTTGCGCAGATCTGCAGTAGAAATATTTTTGCCAATACCCCTGAATTTAACATTATTCCTGTGGGACCGGTCTTCTAGATCCACCAATTTTGCCTTTAATGCTGTTAAGTCGTCTTCAGATTCATTATGTGCATCAACTAATTCGTTGTGAGCTTTAGCGAATTCACCCATTTTAGTTTCCACGTGTGATACCCGTTCTCCCATACATTTAATATCCTTGTTAACTTGCGATACAAAGCCCATAATATCTTTATGCAGGGAGCCTTTAAGTGTAATTAACATATATTTCATTACTGCAGTCGTAAGGGGCAAGGACTCTGCAGGGTAATCTTCCAGATGTTTCACAAACTCAGTAGTGGAATTATGTAATGATGCATTCTGCAGATGTTCACCCCCCAGGCTGTAACTCTGGGGAGCAGCGTTGGCTGTGTTTCTGTGGGCTATTTGTGGGAGAAGACTGTGCAGAGCCTGCAGTCTCTGCTGGGTTGGATGTGTGTAGTGGAAGAGTATGGCCATCCCCCCTCACGTGTCCTTGATGTACGGGAGGGGGACAGAGACCAGCGCCATCCTGAGGGGAGGGGCCTCCCGCCAGAATGAAAAACTCTGTCAATTTGCGGGGCCCCTCCTTATTTTTCCTCTTCCCCATCATGCCTCCCCGGTGCCCCCCTCTTTCCGAGGGCTTACTGTGGTGTTGGCGGGTATCCCCGCTGTCACTCGTCACTCTGCTGGGCTGCAGCTCTCGGCGGCTCCCGGAGCTCTCTTACAGAGCTGCCATCTCCTTCTGCAGCCGGCCACGTCCCCCCTCTAAGTCAATTGTATGAGTGGTCGCTCAGTCTGAGTTATCTCTAGCCACTCTTCAGCCAGTGGGGGACACCAGTGATAGATTTGATGGACTCAGCTGCAAACAACAGGCTTCCTTGATGCTTCTCGTGTTTTTGAGATTTGCAAGCTCTGAGCCAGGATGCCCTTTCAAGCCCCTGGAGCTTTCACCTAGTGTATGAATTCCCTCCCATAACTCTAATTCTTTGGGTGTTACTGAAGATACAGCAGGAGAGGGTCCAGGCAATAGTAATTCATCAGTTTTGGCCAAGAAGGCCCTGGTTCCTTTTAGTATGGAGAATGAGACTAGAAGATCAAATTCCCTTACCACATCAGGCAGATTTGTTGATGCAGAATAGAAAACAACACCCATACATCAAGAGATTGAATCTAATGGCTTGAAGATTGAAAGGGGATGGTTGAAAGAAATGTATATTTCAGACGGAGTCATGGACACTTTGTTACGCTCAAGGAAACAGTCTACAAATTCCACATACCAACGTGTGTGGGGAGCATTTCATGAATTTGCCTTGACAAATGGCTGGGATCCTATCTCTCCATCAATATCTACTGTGTTGGACTTCCTCCAAAAGGGCATGGATAAGAGTCTGGCATATAATTTCTTGAGAGTCCAAGTATTGGCCTTAGCAGCTTTGACCCAAAGAAGATGGGCATTGCATCCTTTGGTGATTCGCTTTTTGAAGGCCACAATGAGAATCCATCCTCTGGTGAAGACCTACTTTCTAAAGTGAGATTTGACCCTGGTTTTAAAGCTTTATTGTGTATCTCCTTTTGACCCTCCATCGTCCTGTTCAATGTATTATCTTACTTAAGAATGATTTTCCTAATAGCTGTTTCCTCAGCAAGAAGAGTCTCAGAGTTGTGTGCCTTCTTGGTGAAGGAACCGTACTGCTTGTTCTTTCCAGAGAGTGGTTTTCAGGCAAGAACCTTCTTTTCTTCCCAAGTGTCCACGTCTTTCCACTTGAATTGGGAGTCTATATTTACATACTTTATTCCTGAGGAAACAGAAGAAGAATGGAAAAACTAGATCTAGTTTCATTTCTACCTCATACCTAGAGTGCACCAAACATGTCAGAAAAGTGTATAATTTCTTTGTCTACCCCTTAGGCCCAAGAAGAGGGCAGATTATGTCTCCTAGGGTTCTCTTAGCCTACATTATTAGAACTATACAATCGGCTTATACATTCTTGAGCCTTCCTCCTCCAGAAGAAGAAAGGGCTCATTCAACCAGGGGCACGGTGGCATTATGGACTTCTTATTTGAAAGTCTCGGCAGAGGTGGTTTTCAAGGCAGCTAGTTGGAGCACTATACATACTTTCATGCACCATTGCAGGCTGGATGTATCTCTAAGGGATTCTGATCACTTTGGGACTTAAGTTATTTCTTCAGTTGTGAACCATTAAATGTCTGTGTGCTTTGTAGTACTTTTCTTGTCCCAGTATCTTTTTGTTGTTTTCCCTCCCATCTGGGCCTTGTCATTGCTAGTTATGTCCTGTAGTAGGTTAATGTGAGGAGGTCCAGGAATACAGAAAATTGTTATCATACTTACCATAATTTTCCTTTCCTTGACCCTCCCACCCTTCATTTCCCTTGAGAGGCTAGTGATGGAACACCTGAGTGGAGGATTAGCTTAGATTTATGGGCTAGTTATGGATTGTCCTGGAGGAATCAGGAGTGCGGAGCTGACCCGTAGTAGGCTGAAGTGAGGAGGGTCAAGGAAAGGAAAATTACAGTAAGTATAACAAATTTCCATAATACACATATATGTGTGTGTATATACTGTATATAGATATATGTGTATATATATATATATATATATATATATATATATATATATATATATATAAAATATAAAATATGATGCTTGCTGTTACTTATGTTTATCTGATGCATTATTTTATATTTTATTTTCTAGAGATGTGTCGCAGTGCACAATGAACAACCCGAGCCTATCACAGAAATTGAGATAGTCAGCAGTTTGATGGACAGTCGAGAGTGTCAAGATTCAAACAGCAACAATATTTAACATAAAATACCATATCATTGATGTACATAATTGCAATACATGCAGACATATATTTTTGTATGGAGATGTAGTTTCCGTTTGGATTTTTAGTCATTTGCTGTATTGAACACATATACATTTTCAAAGAAATAGTGCAATAGAAGGCATGGTCAATTTGTCTTTCAGCACACTGTAAATTCAATAGGAATGTTGAAGGATGACCTCAGTGTGGTATAGTGAAAATCCACTTTTATTTGAAAAGAAGCATAAGGGAGGGAACAAAGGAATCTCTTATGCATGCTTGTGTTTATGCTGCTTTGCTAATAAAAGAGTTTCAGCATACCACGGTGCAGTCAACCTTCAAGATTTATAAGCGACCCTTTTGTGAACACGCCAGATCAGGCATTTGGGTGGATGTGTTGGGATGAAGCATAGATCAACTGTGCTGATTGATGTTGCTTTGAATGCATTATGTCTGGAACCTCTGGTATTGCTAATACTTCTGGGTCTGTCATGTGCTATTGTGACTATTTTATGTCCTATTTCTAATGTTACCTAACCCATTCAAGTCAGTGCTAAAGGTGTTTATAGACAACAGTAACTGGCTAGGAAAAAATGAATTATCAGTTCTTCCAAGATCAATAGGTCATGAGGCATCTGCAAAGGTTGGGAAAAGTTCACAGAAGTTCCCTTTGTTTATTGATTTGTATAGCTGTGTGTAATTTTTAATGGTGATATGGACAGTACATATTGCAAGGCTTAAAAAAATCAAATGCATAACAATATAAAAAATATAATAAATAATAATATAATAAAACTGTACTGTACAACTTTTAAAAATTACATTTCAACTTCAATTACTGTTTGCATACAGTGCAAAATTATCACAAAATTATCACAATAGGAACAACAAAATTAACACAATAGGAACAACAATGACTTGATATTACAGGGATCTAGAAAATTACACTTTTATGAATTTACAGTCTAGAGGATCAAGGTAAAAGGAAGGAAGCGAATGAGTGAGCTATCTGTAATATGTACCACAACCATATGTACACGTAGCCAAAACTTTTTTTTTTTAGTTTTTGGACATTTTAATTTTTTTCTGCCTGTGCTCTATTAGGGAGTTTTAATTTACTTTGTGTCTTTTGTTCTGAAGAAGAGGGAAGAAAATATCTTTTGTACAGGTCATACCTGAACAGGTGCCACCATTGAGAGTTTTACCATTACCTCTTGGTGAAAACTCGAAATTTTGGATTTTCCCTCAATTTGTTGAAATCACCATGTAGAGACACAGACACACAAAGTAAAACCCCCAAAAACTTGATAGGAGTTAATAATTGCCTAAGGCATATGTGCACATTCTCTTCCTCATAATTCGCAGGTGCAAGCATTGTTTCATAGACTGTAGCCTGGACCTGTTACCACTGGAGGAAGGAACACTGAGAGGTAAGTGTGCCATAAAGTGCAAGCATGCACAGCACACTTGCCTGTAATGTAATGACTCCGCTCTCTCCTGGCTCTCCTCCTATCTATCCCAGCGCTCCTTCAGTGTTACCTATAATGCTGCCACCTTCCCCTCTCTCCCCCTCTCTGTTTGGGTCCCACAAAGCTCTGTCCTCGGGCCCCTTCTCTTCTCCATCTACACCTCCTCCCTTGGCAAACTGGTACACTCCCACGGCTTCAACTACCACCTCTACGCCAATGACACGCAAATCTACCTCTCTACCCCTCGCCTCACCCCTTCAGTCTCTGCCCGAATCACCTGCCTACTGAACGACATATCAGACTGGATGTCACTCCACTTCCTCAAATTAAACCTTTCCAAAACCGAGCTCCTAGTTTTCCCCCCAGCCCGTGCCCCCCCACCCTCTCCATCACGACCAATAACGCCACCATCAGTCTCACCCCGCAAGCCAAAGTTGTAGGTATCACTCTAGACTCCAACCTATCCTTCCAGCCCCATGTCCAATCACTGGCAAATTCATGCAGGCTCCACCTCAGCAACAACTCCAAAATACATTCGTTCCTAACCCAAGACACTACTAAACAACTCATTCACTCCCTTATTATCGCACGACTTGACTACTGCAACTCCCTTCTCACTGGCTTACCTCATCACAGACTCTCCTCGCTTCAGTCTATCCTGAACTCAGCGGCCAGACTCATTCACCTTAGCAACCGCTCTGTATCCGCCACCCCCCTCTGTCATTCCCTCCACTGGCTTCCGATTGCCCAACGCATAAAATTCAAACTACTAACATTGACGTACAAACTATTCATAATACTGCCCCAAACTACCTCACCGACCTAATATCCAAATACCACCCAACATGTACTCTTCGCTCCTCACAAGACCTCCTACTCTCCAGTTCCCTAGTCTCCTCCTCCCATGCCCGACTCCAGGACTTCTCCAGGTCTTCCCCCATCCTCTGGAACTCACTACCCCAATCCATCAGACTGTCATCTACCCTCCCTACCTTTAGGCACACCCTGAAAACCCATCTCTTCAGGGAAGCCTACCCCGCCCTCACCTAACAGCCGATCTCCTCCACTCCTCCTACCACTCCATCCCCCACAGCCATTTCCTCCTGTACCACTATCCCCTCCCTCCTAGACTGTAAGCTCCAAGGAGCAGGGCCCTTGAACCCCTCGTGTATTGTATTGTTACTGTATTGTCTCATGTACTGTCCCCCACTATAATGTACAGCGCTGAGCAAACTTTTTGGTGCTATATAAATACTGTATAATAAATAATAAATAATGTGGACAACTCAGCCCCACACAATGGACTTTAATTGCACTTTGAAGGAGAATGGTAGCTCACATATAAGTGTTCTAACACAGGTATTTTACTTTGTTACAGAGTTCCTTTAAACATAACATTCCTTTCCAATTTCCCATCACTGTTTATTTAACTACTGACCTTCTATGATACATAGCTTTATGGTGCTGCCTGGAAATTAGAGTACTTGCTAAATTTAAAGCTTTTGTGAGAAAAACATGTGGGTTACATATACTAACCTCCCTTTAAAATTGCTAGCCCATTGCTTTTTGAGTCCCTGACGTAAAAAAAAAAATATGCAAGATTAACAGTTCACTTCATTGAAGCTGAATACAGCCAGGAAGCTAACAATATCTAGAATAACATCCATTGTGTTTTATAACAGGTTTTCTTTACAATCCACCATACCTGCTGTTTTCTAAATCTGACCCTACATGCAGATTTTATCTGTCTCTCTATTTTCTTTCTTTCTCATTTTGACATTCTTATTTTGTATTTGTTCTTTATTGCCTTCAGATTGATTTTACCTATTACTCTTGCACTCTGGTATCCCATGTCAATGCATTACATAATATACTCAGTAGGTAAGAATTTTGTTGCTCTCCAGCTGTTGCAGGACTCCAAGTTCCATCATGCATCTGCAAGTCATAGCTGTAACTGTCTATTTTGCAATATCTCATGGGAAATGTAGTTCCACAACAGCTAGAGAGCCGCAGGTTGCCTACCCCTGAGTTAATTATATCAAATGGATCATATACATCACAGTGAATAAATGAAAGTCCTCCCCAATCATATAAATGGTCCCCATCATCATTTCTCACTTTCTAACCAGAGTCAGAAGCTAGTGGGCCACAGGTGTATGAGTGACTTGGTGAGAGGTCCTCTTAACCAGTTAATTTATAGACAGTATATTTCGGTATCCTCAGATCTGACTGGCCTGTGTAAGATCATGATTTAGAACACCTGATTTGTATATTTTGTCTGCAGACAGAAAGTTGGAGGCTGTCACTTAGGGATGTATATAGTAATAAGTGTTAGATCTTATCTTTAGTGGGACTGAAATAATGAAGAAACAATTTTACACAAGCTAATTGTGGATGCTTCTTACCTTATTTGTTTCAGTAGTGCATCTTCTAGCACTATTGTTCCTGGTATGCTCCACCTGTCACTTCTTCCCTCTGGCATTGTTCCTGGTATGCTCTACCTTTCACTTCTTCCCTCTGGCATTGTTCCTGGTACACGCCACCTGTCACTTCTTCCCTCTGGCATTGATCCTGGTATGCTCCAGCTATCACTTCTGTCATCTGGCATTGTTCCTGGTATGCTCCACCTGTCACTTCTGCCCTCTGGCATTATTCCTGGTATGCTCCACCTGTCACTTCTTCATTCTGGCATTGTTCCTGGTACGCTCCACCTGTCACTTCTTGCCTCTGGCATTGATCCTGATGTGCTCCAGCTATCACTTCTGTCATCTGGCATTGTTCCTGGTACACTCCACCTCCTGTCACTTCTTCCCTCTGGCATTGTTCCTGGTTTGCTCCACCTGTCACTTCTGCCCACTAGCATTGGTATTCTCATTTTGAAAAACTTTTGTTCCTCTGATCCTGAGCCTTTGCAGCCAGGCATCTCAACTTTTGGTACACTTCATTTGTAAAACTTTGCTACTCTGAGCCCTTGATCCTGGGCACAGCAACGCTAGATATACTCTATTTGCCAAGCTATGCTTCCCCAAGCCCTCACAGCTGGATAAATCTGAGCTTTTTTCTTTGGTGTTCATGCCAGCTCTTTAGTTTCCTCTCTAGTCGCCTGGCCATTTTTACCAGTCTTACTGCAACTTCCACGTACCTCTAAGAGTGTCTGGGGAAGCAACCTGGGAGCGGGAAGTAGCAGAGTCTAAACTCATTTGAGGGGGTCCCTAGTGAATACTGCCCATTCTTTGACTTTTGGCTAGTTTGCTTTGCTCTGTTTCACTCAGTTTTTGACAGTAATGTACACTTCAAGTACCTAAGCAGTAGTAAACACAGCCAGTGTAAACATGATTTCTTTATTTATAGAAAACCCAAAACTACTTTACTGCCAGCTCCCCCGTCCCCTAAATACATATTGCTAAAAAATGTCAAAAATAAAATTTTTACTAAAAAAAAAAAAAGTAAAACTACTTACCTCAGCCTTGGCTCCGAACACTGTCAGGGAATGCAGCTGATGTCACCATGTCTCACCA